GCTGAACCTGCCACCGACAGGCAATTGCGAGAGGCCGGTACCGCAGCGACGTGTGTGCTCCGTGCGCTGCTGCTGGGCTGGGACAGCTGCTGCCTCCTGCCCTGCCTGCCCTGCCTGCCCTTGCCCTGCTCTGTCTCCTGCCCTGCCTGCCCTTGCCCTGCTCTGCCTGCTGCCCTGCCCGCAGCCCTGCCCGCAGCCTTGCAACGCGACTGCGGATGCCTCTGGAGGGGAGGAGTTGCTGTAGAGCCCAGCTGGAGCAAGACGCCTCACAAACCTAAGTTCAAGGTGAGACTCATACTATATGTTAGCTGATTTAAGACATTGATTTTATTACCGTTTCTTTTCCCCCAGTGCAGAAAGCAATACTGGGTAAAAATCTGTAACTTGGAGCTCCTTCTTGCACAGGGTCACAGTCTGATCTGCTCACACTCAGCGTTGCTCCCTGCACTTAAAAGCAAGTCTAGGAAAGGGAGGACAGCTGTAGAATTTCCTATTAAAATTACAATAACAATGCATATTGATTTTCTTGAGGAAAGGAAATTTAAAAAGAAAATAGCTGTTAGTGATCACCCCTCTTAGCAGCAGGGAAGCTCAGACATTGCTCAGTGGGGCTTGGGGTGCATCTCATGGTGCCTGTGTGCCCTCCTTAATCTGCCTGCTAGATGACACAGCGGGTTCCTGCCTGCTCAGACCTCCGAAAGGGCAGATGGGAAGGAGGTGTCTGGTCTAGACCTTGAACTTGTCTAGGCTGTGGGGACAAGGGGAGAGGCAGTTCCTCCTTACCTGGGTGGGGGCTGGGGTGGAACAGGGATACTGATAGTGATACAGTGGGGAAAGGGTACTGTTGTCTTTTTTCTGGTATTTTGCACCAGATTTGTAGAGCAATTTTCCAATCAGCAGGCAGCAGAGCAGACAACTTTTCCTGACACTTTGAATTTTGTTGCTGTTTTCTGTTTTTCTCTTGCTCTGGCCACTAATGAAGGTAGGTTTTCTTTTTGTGAAATTATTACCATACTGTAGCTGTGGTACCTGTAGGAAATAGAAGAGTGATTAGGCTCCAGGAAAGCAGCACTTATGCTGAGCTACATGATATCTTTGCTCTATTGGTCCACTTGATTGACTAATTCTATACATTTCCTGAAGGAAAATCTGTGTTTTGGCTGTCTGCTGTCTAGTACAATAATGTCTTGGTCCATGGATAGATTTCATACAAGGCTGCAGCAGTCCATGTAACAGTCATTAACTACAAAGATGCTTCTGTGTCAGCGTAGCAGGGATGGATCACTGTGCTTTTGGAGAAGTGGTAGTTATAGAAAAGTTGCAATGTGTAGCTTTTCTTTAAACGAAAAAAGGCAGGTTCTAGATATATAAACTCTTCCAGCCAAGCACTACTTGCTCTGATCTGAATATTCACATTTATTTTAAGGGATCCATGCTAACTTGTGTTTCCTGAGGGTCTGCCCGTCACCTTCTATAAGCTTTGCAGCATCAGATGGAATGAGTATATTTTACAAGAAGAGGGAATACATGTATGCTCACTCGGTTTCTTTTTTATTTATTCCTGCGAATGTGACACACATGTTCAGCACATTCATACAGAGGCAGGGTGCATGCTCAGGCCCCTAATGACAGAGTAAAATGAAGGCAGTGATGCCAGGAGCCTTCTGCAAGGGCCAAGAGCAGAAAGCTCAGTGTCTTGGCAAGACCCCAACTTGGGTGCTGCCACTTTGCTTCCTGAAGTCCTTAGCAGCTGGCCAGAAAGAGCTGTACAAAAGTCTTTAAACTTTGTCCTGATTTCTTGGGGTTTTTTTCCTGTGCATTTCTAAGTAGCACCAAAGGATGGCTGCGTTTGTGCCTGGACAAACACAGTTAAGTTTTCTGCTCCTGAAGGCCTTAGTGAGGCCGCTTTCAATCATGGCTGGAGTAGACTATGAACAATATATGTGTACTTGATGAAAAAAAGAAAAAAAAGAAAAAAGAAAAAAAAAAAAAAGGGAAGAATAAGAAAGCCAAATATTCAGATTAAAGAAAATATTAAATACTTTTATTTGTAAAAACCTATGCCAATGCAAGACTATTGCTTACATATCTTGCAGAAATCTATTGATGTCATCTATGAATATTATTATTTAAAAATCAAAGAATAAGAATAGGGTGAGAGAACATTTTAAAAGATACATAAAATTGTGGAAGAAATGGCAAAACATAAAATGTACTTCAAGCAAGTTTTATTTTATTCTATTACCTATTTACTGCAGTTTTGTAAATAGTGCTAGAAAATTACTTTGTTGGGGCAGAATCAGGGAAAAAAAATATTTAATGAATGGAACATTAGTGAAGTCTATCCCTGAAGATGAGTGAACCTGCCAGTGCCACCGTGGTGGCTACAGTGCTACAGCTTCTGGCACTACCAAGCTGTCCTGTACCATCCCAGAGCCTGCAAATGCTGCAGGAATGGCTGGGACTGGTCCTGTGTTACAGGTACTGAGAGCAGCACAGACAGCATCTGTGTGGCACTCCCCTTCTCAATTTATTTTTTTTTTTTAGATAAATGTTTGAAGCAGAATCTTTCAGCATATATGTGTGTTGTCTATTTTAGGCATGTTTTTCTTACTCTAGTATGCTTGCTTTATGCATTGACAAAATTATTGCAGTTTTTCTTTATTCATTTTTAAAGGTAAGTGGGTGCCTACTCACTTGAGTTTTCATCCATCATTTCTTAAGTTAGGTTTACTATTTTTATCCAGACCTTTCCCTTTCCTTTTTATTCTTTGTTTAGACTTCCTTTAGTCTGCTCTCCAGGTTAGATCCCCTGCTCCAAACCAGCACATTTTTGATGAGGAGAAAGGAAGTAAAAAGTTATAATAATTTTTAAATCTTTATTTCCAGTGATGTCAAACTTCCAGTACAAAAGGATTTATTTCATGCCCATTTTTAAGCAACCAATTTTTTTCTTTGGGCTGTGTTGTCCCTTCACATGGTGTTTCCAAGGATAAGAACAGCAGAGCCCAGATGCTGAGTCAGGTTGTGCTGCCCTGGCATACTGTTTTCACACATTCCATAGGTAAACCTGGGACCTTTGCATGGACTACTATAGTTAATAAATATAATCTTCCATATAATTTATTTGTTTTAGAGGTATTTTATGTATTATTCCTTTAGAGATTCTTATCAGCATCTACCTGAACTGTAAACTCTGGAATTAAATCTGCTTGGACATGTTCCTACAGACTGTTTCAAATTAGTTGGAGTTGCAGTACAGAGAGAACAGAACATAGTCCCCAGCACCTCAGTCTGCTCTGCTGGGCTCTGTGCATAGGCTCTGCCTATTTTGCAGCCATGCATCACATCTGTCTGCAGATCGTCTGTGTGTGATGATCTCCATGGCGACTTGGGCATTTGAGACAGAAATATGATCTGGTAAGTCAAGGTTACTCTCCCTCCTCCCCCTTTCCTCTCAGTGCAGTGCTGGTGAACGTGTTAAATTTTGGTATGGCCTGGAGCAAAGCACAGCAAATCCGTTATAATTCTCCAAATCCAGTTTAAGTACCTTGCATGGGTCAGCAGGACCCTGCACAGATGGGGGAGTGTAAAGGGAGGGGAGCACAGGATCATGTTCTGGGTCTAGGCATGACATCCTTTGTAGGGGAGGCTGATGCTACATGGGTGGAATAGAGTGAGAAATCCAAAGTAGCTTTTCTTGCATTGTGCATGGCAAATGTTGACTGGGGGCCAGCAACAGGGAAATTCAGGCAATTTGCTCCTCTGTCTTTACTGGATACCCTGAAAATGTGGAAACATAAATATTGAATTATAAAGATAGAATTTGTGTAATCTCAGAATGTACACGTATATTACAAAGCAGAATTTTTGGTCTAATGTGTTCAGTTAGCCAGTGGGTACACTGAAGTTTTGCCTCTTTCTATTCATGAAACACTTTCCTCTTTCCATCGGTGCAAACGACTTGAATAATGTTTTTCTTGTTTGTCAGCATCATCTCCCCCTGTTGTCCGTCGACATAAAATGCAGCGTTCTGGAACATGAGAAAGGCAATACACTTCCTCCAGTTCTTTGTAACCTGATATGAAGTAGACAGACACCTTCTGAAGTTTTGTGCATGCTGTGCTCTTTTTTTCTTTGCTGCAACAAGAAAAGCCTTTTCTTTTAACCTGGTTTCCTTTGAAGAAGGAACTCGGGAAGCTTCATGGCCTCTCAAGGTAAGTGCATCTATAGTCTGTATTTTTAGATCATGTTTACAGAAAACTAGAATCTTTTACGATTCCAGCCATCAGCAGTCGGATGAAACGAGAGTTTCAGGCTAAAACCACAGCAGCTAAAGCACAGTTGTTTTGGCTTTCTCTAATTTTTCAGCATTGAAGAGGCTCCTAAGGAGAATAAAATCTATACTGGAACGTTATTTGAATAAAATATGTTACAAAATGTAAGCATCTGCATTCAATCATAAAACTTAGTGCTTAAACCTGTTGGTAGAGAATGCATGGGAAGTTTAGGTTCTGAGCCAAGAGTACTACTATTTTTGCATGCTTCTTTCCTATTGCACTTTGAAAATACCAAATCAGCAGATGCTTTTCACTTTCAAAACTGTCCAGAGTCCTGATATAACCACATAAGAATAAATAAGTATCTGAAGAATAACTGAATTTAATCAGATCACTCCTATCTGGATTCATATTTGTCATGTATTGCCTTTCAGCTGCAGTGAGTTAGGGACTCGGGGCTATAAGCAAACATTGCAGTATGCTGATCTAAGAAACCTTCTAAATTAATTTTTTTCCACACTTTCAAATGTTTATACTAATTAGAAGGACACAAATCTGTGTTTTCTGAATGTGAATACAACTCAAGAGCTCACCCTCTTGTGAGGTACGGAGGCAGATGTGGGCCCAGGGAGTTTCAGCAGTGTCTGTTTATGATTTGCCAAATGTTTACCCCTCGTTTGCTGCCCCAAATAATACTCAAGACATTCTGCATTTACAGCACTAAACGTTATACAGCAGTAAAAAGGTTTTACAGCATTGTTGTACTCTTGGAATATACATTTTTTTACTCTGAGGGGTGTGCATGTTTCTTATCTTTAGCCATATAAGAGATCTGGCTTTGTATCTTTTTAATGCATGGTAGTCAGCAGAAGCAGCGAAGTAGTCATGTTTTGTAATATGGTTTTCATAATTTGATTATATTCTTTTAGGAACAAGAAAGTCTACAAATCATGATTGTACAGAATGCTCACTGTATCATATGGTAACATATAAGTTTTTCCGTATTATAAATGAAATGAGAAACATCCGTCAAAACAGACAGTGTCAGAGTACCTCAGATTGTCAGAAATATTTAACCTATTTACTGTTTGATTTTTGTATAGCTTAAAATTTGACAGGTAGAACTGCAATTTGTTGTCTTTTTTTTTCCTCTATTTTTTGAGAATAACACTAACACTCAGCTACTTCGTGGCATTTCATGTAACAAAAAGAGATATGGCAGTAACAGAACCCTGTGAGGTAAAATGATGCAGAAGAGCATATAAAATATTTATTACCCAGATATACATTTTTAAAGCCAGCTACAAATTCAAAGGGCTTACTACTTCTTCCTGTGGTCTCAGACTTTGAAAGAAAGCAATGGCTGAAAAGATAAATTAAGATCAAAATATGATTAAACGATGAATCAGCCACAGTGAGTTCAAATAATGCTAAAGGATCTCATCTAAACCCACAACAGCAGAAGAGATCTTCAGACTTAGAGCCAAAATTCCTTCTGGACCTCAGACCCTATTGTGCCTAAGTATTGTCATGCATGAGATAAAAATGATCAGTTTGGGGACGGCTTTACTGCCGAAGCACAGGGGCTCAGCGTGGTATGAGGATTTGCTGTTCGTATGCAAGGAGCTTCAGCCTTCCTCTTGTTCAGGCAGAGCTGGTGTTACTGAGGGCTGTGGAAAGATGCTCGTAGATAACCAGTAGGAGTTTGCTGAGACTCAAATGACAAAACCAATCACTGCCCTGTGGGAGATGGTGCCTGTGTGTATGAAGGGGTGTGGGCAAACAGTGCCCCTGCAGTAAATTCTCTTGCACCAGCTGAGGTAACCATTGCTGTGTCCTAAAGGACATGTTTGTAGTCCAGAAAATGGAGCTTAACACCATCTGATATTTTAATTATGATAATAATGAATTATCTTTAGCACTGTAAGAGGCTGTAGACTTTGATACCAGGGCTGTAACACCCAGCTTGGGGAATCTGAGATCCCTGGAAAGGTTATCTCTAATTAAGAGAAAATATGCATGCCCTCCAGATGCAAGGAAGCATCTTGCTAGAAGCAAGCCCTCAGCAGCTGGCTGCACATTAGCACACATGGCAGCTCACAGGGAGCAGGACTGTGCAACCTATGCTGAGGAGCTTGTGGTCACTCTGGGAGCCCAGACCAGCTCCAGTATTGTCCAACAGACTGAGTGCTTGCAAGATATCAGAGTGGATTAGGTACTCTCCAAGACCACATCTCCTCATTTAGTGTCATCTAAAATGACCCCACATTCCATATTTCAAGATTGCTTTATAAAATGAACCTGTGTGCTCCAAGTGTGGGGCCATCAGGAGATTTGTTTCAGATCCTGGCTCCTGATCTGAACTCAGATGCTGACGTAGTCACAAGCAGAATGTGACATTATTGTTCCAGGTTTGGTCCAAGCAGTTAGTTGCTCTTTGGCTCTATTAATTTCTGATTTATTTTTCTTCTCTTCCAGCAGAATCTCAGGGAAAAACAAACACAATCTTTAAGGATTACCTCCCTGGTTCTTCTGACCTTCTTGAACAGAATAAGCCTGTTGAACCAAAGAGTCTCTGGAAGCAAACATCCCACACTCATAACTTGCCACCTGGTTTGGAGTACCTGAATCAGGTCCTGAATCTTTCCAAATGTTAGAATTGATTTGTTTTCCTCATAAACTTCTTTGATAACTTAGAGGATGGAGTTGTTCAGGGGTTTTCTTGGGGGAGGGCAGGTGGAGATGGAGAGGCTTTTTAAAAAAAAATAAAATTATTTCATATTACTATGAAACCAGGAACATAGGAATGACAAATCCTTCCTTCATTGCTGTCAATCTTTCATACAGAAACCCATTTTTTGTGCATGAAACTCCTCTTGCACCAAATCCACGGTTTTCTTTTCTAGGTCATAATATTACCTCTTTCACTGTCCCCCAGTTTCCTTCCAGCTCCTTAAGAGCTCTTTCTTAGGGCTTTCAAACTACTGTTGAACTCAAAAAGACTTAAACAGTAGGCAAAAGAATTGTCACCTCCTACCACCCATCCTTTGAGGAACATGAAGGTCTTCTGAGCAAACTCCTTCTGTCCCTGGACACTGTTCTCCAGGTTAGAGGTAAGGTCCTGGGACAGGGCAAAATCCCATGGAGACAGCTTTGTGAGCATAAAACTGGGTAGTTCCAAACTCACACCCACTCTGTGTTGGGTCGTGGGGCAGGGAAGTGCCAGTGCCTGAAGGAGAAAAGTGCCTGCAAATGGAAGCAGATGAATACGTCACAGGGAGAGGAGGAAAAGGGAATGCTGAAGTCTTCTCAGTCCTACTGCTGATTGTGCAGCTTTCCATCTCACTGTGTGAAACCCCTTGGCTCCTGGCCATCAGGCTAGTGATGATCTGCAGCTCTGCTCCAAAAGCATCATCTGCATTTTGTTACCTGGAGGGTCACTGCTGCTGCTGCTTTGACACTGACTCCAGTTTGCATTTCACATGTGACTGGATTCTGTCACTCTTACATATGCTGAGTAACACTTTGTACACACTGATTGGTATGGGCAGGGCCAGGGCCAGACCTCCGTGTAGTCCAGTGGTGATTCTGATGCACACACCTCTGCTGTGTTGGTATTTTGGTGGTGCTGGGAAATGTTTCTTTCACTCCAGACCTGTATTGTAGGTACACATTTCCAGTAGTTTTGTACCAAAGCAGAAATTTAACGTATTTTGTATTTGAAGCTGTTGCCTAGATAGCTAATGAGAGACCCTTCAGAAACAATCTTTCATATGGAGTTATGATTTTCATTTCATGGTGCCCATGCACAAAATGATATGTGTTGTCAATTACATGAGTATTTGCTCACAGACTGTGGGAGCTACATTTTTTAGTCTAAAAGAGATTGTGATAGTAAATACTTGGCAGGTTACTCACTCAGTCTCCTGGACAAACATGAATGATAGCTCAGATTTACCCACTGCAGGTGTGCAAGCATATTCTGTTACTCCATTTTATAGATGCTTTACACCTGACATAAAGACAAAAGAGCAAGTGGCTGTCAGAACTATCATTAGAACTCAAGACTTCACTCATACTTGTCCTGGGCCCAAAAAACATGTGTCTATGCTGCAGCCCTTGTCAATTCTTTAAAATTTTCTCTGTAGTCAGAAAAGTGGGAAGCACGTGTGCAGTGCTAATCAGGGGCATGGACCCACAGCCAGAATCTCCAGGCTTTGCAGGACATTGTTATGCGTGGTGCTGAAACTTTACTGGCTGTGTGTGTCATGAGACAAGCCATGTAGATTGCAGCAGCAAGGGGATCCAACCAGACAAGCGAAGGCTGCCTGCAGAATGAAAGTGGGATTCACAGCTGCTAGGGTGATCCCTTGGGATCTATCCTGATGGACTAAGAGATTTTCATATAATGAAGATCTCAAATTAATGTAGTTGTTTCTAGCAGAACTGGGAATTTTTGATACTATTAGGAAGGCTGGAATACTGTGTATCCTTCCAGTTTTGTGTGTATTGAGGAAAGGTGGATCCAAATCAAACCAGCCACAAACAGTTGCTACTTGGAAGGATGTAGGGAGTGGAGAACCTGCTTTAAAAAAAGACTGAGTGATTAATCTTTAGACTAATAAAATGCTACCAGAGAGAGGGAACTGTTCAGATCTCGCCTCTAGAAGGGTAAACCACCTGTGGGAAAAAGAGACATTTAATGTATAGAATGATATTACCAGAAGAAAGACTGTATAGAAAAGGGTTGTGAATAAAAACAGGATAAAAACATAGAAATGGGTTTCTGTGATTATGTCCAGCAGGATCAGAGAAGATAGTTAGATTTGAAAAAGCTGAATATATTTCTTAGTAAGACCGTGATATGTTTGACTCTGAAACAAGGATTCGAATTTAGTGAATCTCAGAGACATTCCTATAGTTTTGTTCTAAACAGCAACTCAAGGATGCAACATACAATGTTGGATGACAGGAAAAGAAAGTATCTGTCATGTATGTTAAGGTCAGACAGCAAAATTTCACTCTGCAATACACACCTGGAGTCGGTCAGGCTGAGGAGCAGTTCACTCAGCAGCTTAAGGTGCACCAAAGAAAGGTAATAAACTGCTTCTGCCGTGGCAAACTGATACTGTACTTTCTATCATTATCGCAAAAGTGACACACCTTAAACAATTTCCTACAAAGCACTTTATCCAAACCTTGTTATTAATTTCAAGCTATAGTTTGAGGAATTGTTCAGTGCCCATCATAAAATTTGAGGGAACCTGTGCCCACAGCAGGCATAGACAGACTAAACAGCAGAGAAGAATTTTCCAAATAACTCAACAGCATGTTGTGCCATTATTCAGGCTTATCGGCTATTTTAGGAAGCTTCTTATTTTATACTTGGTTAGACTGATCAGATGTAAATTTAATGTCCACAAAACTAAATACTGAGAATTAGCTGTGTAGAATGAAGTGCACGTGCGAGCTCAGGATGACTAGACCCTTGCAAAACCAAAGGCCTTGAGATGCTTTCAAATGTAAGTGCAGAATTCCATTAATCCACAAGTGCCCTGATAAAAGATGCATCAGAATAGTCGCCTTGCAGAAACCAGGAAAAGGCAAAACAAGCCTAACAAGTGGTACTGCTAAGTTATCTCCATACACAGACCAAAATCACTCAAAGCTTTTAACAGTTCTGGCTCATTAATTTTCTTTTCCCTATGAAAGTCTATGTGGGGCAAAGAAATCCATATTAAAATCAATACTAAAATATTAAAATAGCCCTACCATCTTTAACTCATTTATTCCTTTTTCATCAGCAGAGCACTTCCCATGAGCTCCAAGAGTTCGCATCTCTCATGAAACCTAAGAAACAAACAGCAAAGATTATTGGCAGTAAATTTTAAAATCCAAGTATTTTTTATTATTTCAATTACTGGCGTGCACAGTTCAGAGATTAATGAGATAAAGGAGTTTCTCTTTTACCAGCTTTTCTTTGCAGCCTGAACTAGCTGCAGGAGACGACTGGAATTGACAAATGGCTGCAACAGTTTGAATACATACCAGGCAAGATTTATCAATTGTAAAATATACAGACACTGGAGAGCTGTGACATGCTGGTCTCAGAAGGTCTCTGTGTGCTGTCTGTCTGCAGCTCTGAGTAATGGCAAAATCCTGTGCCGAGTGTTTGCCAATCAGGGGTTTAAGGAAAAGAGATTAGTAAAGCCAAAACTATCACACAAAACAGGCGTAAAAAGTATCATAAAACTGAAAGGTAGACTGAAATTACATCCTGCTAGTTTTATAATACTAATGACTGTTCTCTAAAAAAGCATATTGTTGGAGAGATGATAAGCACAGCAGAGTATCATGGCAAGCCATTTTTCTCCTGTATTTGTAATGAGCACACAGGGGAAGACAGTTTCAGCCAACCAAGGCTTTCTCTGGGGAGCTATTTTGCTCACTCTGGCATTCTGTCATGACCATGTGCCAGATCTAGGGTGCAAAACTCCCATTTCCTGAGATCAGAGCATTAGAGCCCATGTATGCTGTCTTTGGTATCACGCTGTGGCCCTTTGGGATGTGTCTAAAGCAAGTGTGAATAGAGGTAGCCCTCAGGCATCCAGCTTGTGCACCTCTGGAAGCAAAGATATCCTAATAATAGGGAGACGAGCAATCAAAACAGACAGGTGATTACTGGCAACCCAAGACCTCACCATCTTGTTTATTTTATTTAAACAGCTGGACCGGATAATTATTCATCAGCAAGTGGAGCTTCTGGAAGGTATGGTGCAATCTTTGCCACTGTCTAATGGTGCTGGTACACAGATGTGTCCAAAGGGCTTCCAAGGCTTGCCCCCAACTTGCTGAAGGCACTGCAAGGCCTCCTTCTGACCTGGTATCAGGCCTGTAAAGTGAAGTTAGTGTGGTAAAAACCCACTTTCTTTAAGCCTCTTCTGCAGCAAACCAATGAGGAGAGAAGGATTACAGTGAGTAATCTCTACACCGGTAGTAAATTCTCTTCCTCTGACACTTTCTTCTCAAAATTATTAGAGTTTAACCATCTTTCCAATCCAGGGAAAAAAAAAATATTGTCTTTAACAATAATTAACATGCTATGAGAAATGAAGCAAATAAAGGAAGGTCAGAAGACTCAAAATTATGCATGACTTCCTATTTTCTCAAACTTTTGAAGTACTGAACAAGGAATTAGTTCTGCAAATAATTGTTAAATGTATTTCTCCCATTCAAAATGTTTTCAGCCTGGTTCTTGGGTACCTTGCTGGATGAACGTTTTCTCACTGAAGTGGCACAGCCTCCTTTTGTCACTTTTCATAGATTATAAAGTAAGAAAAAGCTCAAATCAAAATGCGGGATCTGAATTCTGTTTTGTGATATGTACCTTCATGCAGTTGCACTATTATGCAGCAAATCAAAGTCTTTGAATGAAGTGTTGCTTCAAAATACAGACTTGACACTATTACTTCCTTATAAATGTATATTTTCTTTAGGCCATGAATTCAAAAGAATTTTTTAAACAGTCTCTGTTCCATAGATGTTTGTAATATATACTAATACACATGTACTAACATTATACTAAGGTACTGTTCTTCTTTTGCTTTGTTAGCCATACTTGGCACAGAGACCTCCAGCAAATATGAGATAAAAAACCATTTGGGACAAAGAGTTTACTTTGCAGTAGAAGAGAATGATTGCTTTGATCGCAACTTGTGTTCACCTATAAGGTCTTTCACCATAAGGATCACAGATAACACGGGCCGAGAAGTGATTACAGTGAACAGACCCTTGAGATGCAACAGCTGCTGCTTCCCCTGCTTCCTGCAAGAGGTGAGTGAATCCTGTTTGCTTTTTGTCCCAGCACCTGGCTGTACGTGCACAGCTCTCATGAAGTCTTGAGCAACCCCTGCAAGGGTGGCAGGAGGGAATTCACACCCACCTCTCAGCCTGTGGGACAGCATGGAGGCCTTCTTTTAGTAGTCACTGGTGATAAAGGAGGCCCTTTTGAGGAGTTCCATTCCCAGTGTGGGACCTTACTTTCCTACCATCCCAAATAAAACTTTTTTGTCTGGTCATGCAGATGTCTGTCCAGTCAGGTAGCACCCTAAACACAGTTTGCCCTGACACACTAAAGTCTGTTAGTGCTGCAGCTGGAAATCACCCACTGTACTCCCAGGGCCTGAAGGATGGAAAAACCCTGGAAGCCATTAGTGTATGTGGGCAGGTCTGGGCAGCAGCTCTCCAAGGAGGTCAGTGCTTTGCTCCATGGCTCTGCCTCTCCTTATTATTGGAAATAAACTGCTTTGAGCGAAAAATGCTGACTCTATAGAATATCAGATATTTTATCCTTATTTTTGCCTCTCTACTCAGACAGCTTTCTTGTTTTACAAAAATGTTTTAGAGGTTAACTCATCTACCTACTTTCTCAGTACTACATCAGCATTAAAAAAAACAACAAGTTCTTTAGTAGCACAGCTAGTGCATAAAAAAAGCTCATAGTGTACTCATTGCAATAACAAAAACTTTTCACAGCATATGGATTTATCAAATCTTACGCTATGCAAGATGTTGGTTTCTGGTGCAGCCTTTGAACTTCAAATTGTGCACTATATTTAAAAAACACCATTAGACAGCTTTGTAATGTCCAGTTGACAGTTTGGTTACATGATAAATAATTTTTTTTTTTTTTCATTACAGAAATAGAATAGAATACACTATTATGGACAAATATCTTATAAAATAGTTTTATATTATTGTTTTCTTCTTTTTCTAGTTAGAAGTTCAGTCTCCACCAGGTATAACAGCTGGGTACGTTGTGCAGAACTGGGACCCTTTTCTGCCAAAATTTACAATACAGAATGAAAGTAAAGAAGATGTGCTAAAAATAATTGGCCCATATGCAACTTGTGGCTGTTTTGAAGATGTTGACTTTGAGGTACGTTTCTTGTAAGTTTAATTAAGAATTTAATAGGTTCATTAATTTGAATACATTTCTCACTCAAAAATCTTGTTATTCTACCCTTAAAAGTAGTATGGATGTTGCTATAATTACAGGACAGAAGTACAACAATGTGCATTGGAGTCCTGACTTGTACACTCAAATTCCTTCAGATGTTTTCTGGTCAGGAGTAACAATTCTTTCAGGGAAATACACATGTTGCTCAGTGAAGTCCTGATCCTTTGCAGTCCGTGGGCTCTCAGCCTTTGATTTTCACTGCCTCAGTGCTCCATCCCACATGCATTCACTGTTACCTGGCACACAGTCCCTTGAAGCCTGTGGCATTGAACCTGCTGCCTTTGCTACTCTCAGACTGAGAACTATGGCAGAATTCCTGTCCAAAATGTCTACATCTATTTGACTACATTCATCAAGAGAAAAATAATTCTGAGGAGCCATTGAGTTATTTAAGGATTGAGAGTGAAAATAGCAGGTGCCTGAAGAAACCCTGGACAGAGTTTCCTGATATGAGCAAAGTGGTTTAGTTAAGCTTCTGTGTTGATTAACTCATTAGCCAAATCAGAAGTCTTCAGGGGGTTTCGTCTAAAATTTCAGTATGCTGTGAGCAACATGCAGGTGGCTACCTAACTGAGAACATATCTGCCAGTTGTAGGGGTCAGTGGTCCCCAGCAATGGTACTGCTGTCACGTGGAGCATATCAAAAACACGACAGGAAAAAATAATCATTGTGAAAGGAGAACAGAAGTAGCATAAACTTTCACAATTGCTTTTCTCCACTTTTCTGTCAGCTCTAAAGATGCTGATATATCCAAACTTGAGACCCTTTCTTGTGTGCCACTCCTAAAGGCAACTCTGACACTAATAGGGCATCTCAATGATAAAAGAAAAACCTGACAACTAGAGCCTACTCTGTGTGTCAGGGCACAATCATTAATTCTGTGGAGATATAATCAGTGTGTACTTGATTTATTTACATTTAGGTTTGTTCCTATTTTTTATTTGTGCAGGTAAAAACTCTCAACGAGATGACAACAATTGGCAAAATTTCCAAGTACTGGTCTGGATTTGTAAACAATGTCTTTACTAACACTGCCAACTTCGGGATCCAGGTCCCTGTGGATCTTGATGTGAGGATCAAGGCGGTAATGATTGGTGCTTGTTTCCTCATTGTAAGTATGCAAAACCAAGAGGTAGACATATAGAGGTAGGCCTATAGACTGGGACCAAAGGGGCTTTTGCTGTCAGCTGGAATCCTACAAAGCCATAAGTGCAGTGGAAAGCCAAACCTGCTACCTAAAAGATAAGTTAACTGAAACGCTTTTAATTTTTTATGGCTGCTTTTGGCTTTTTACTTGTTTGCTTAGCATAATTAGGTTATTAGTATTTTTTGTTTATGTAACTGTTTAAATACTATTCCACATGTAATTCAGTATCTTGCCTGGTAGGATCAAATATCAACATATGTGTCAAACCTATCAGACTCCCCCTAAAGCCCTTATCTGTTGTGTTGTAATGCATATATGAACCAAAAGTTATTTCTGTCAGTAATTTCAAATGGTGAGTGCCACTCTAATAGCTGTGTTGAGTGCTGCATGTAAGATCTTCAGGTCACATGAATTTTTCTACCAAAAATTACCTTATGAATACAATCCTAAGTGAACAATTATTTAAAGGAGAAATCTCACTGCTAGGGGTAAGGATGAAGTTAAGTTGCAGGATTTCTAGAACTACAAATTGATATTTGCTGTGTACATCTTCTGCCAATCCTAATGCGGTAATATTAACAGGTAATGGTTTCAAAATTGTCTGTGACATTTACATCAGAGAACATAAAATAAAGGGACAAAACTATTTAAATTATTTGCTGGGAAATGTTTGATTTAAAATAGCAACAAAAAAATCCAGAGATTTTACTTTTATTAGGTTAGAAATGTAACTCTTATGACACTGAAGATTTTCAGTTAGTGTCCTGCAAAACTCAGTGGCAGAGTAATAAAAAGCGATTGACTAATCTAATTACTTAAAAAGAAAAAAAATCCACAAGTAAGACTAAGACTCTTGATAGTAATTGTTGAATTTTTGTAGTTTCCTTACTGTTCACAGTTTGTTTATTTGTAGGATTTAATGTTCTTTGAAAATTCTTTGGATAGATTATAACAAGATGACAGAAGCAATAAAATATGCAGAATGTGTTTCAGTAAGTACAAATGAAAATAAATTGATCTTCTTGCTTTGAAGACTTACACGTTAGATACTTTCTAATTCTTTTTCATTTTCTTCCAGAAATCCCTTGAGCTTTGGACATGATTTTGGGCTGCAAAAATCCTTGTTCCTTATAGGAAAAGAAAGGGAGCTAATGATGATGTTTATTAAAATATGTCTCGTGTAAATAATAATTTTCCACTTACATTTCATGTGTTCTGTAGCTAAACACATGCTTTTCACACAGAGAGCTGTTGCTTTGGAACAGTGCTATTCTCTTCTTTCTCTTTTGATGTTCCTGCATGGGAAATCATGAAAGATTAGATGAAGGCTTGCAGCATCACTGATGAAAGTCTATGCTTAGAGCAGCCTTTGATATTTTGCAAGTGCTGGTACCAGTTACTAACCACATGAGGAGGGTGTGTTCTGGAGGTTTTGCCTTTTCATAATTTTAGAAGTAATTTTCTGATTTGTTATTTAATTAATAGTAACAAACTGAGATTGAAAGTAACAAATACGCAGATGGTACCCAATGGGAACTTAAAAATGTTGTTTGTTTCACTGAGTTGAAAGGAGGGAAGAGGTGCTAGCTAGGAAATTAATTCTGAGATTTGTTTAATGACTGGCAGACAGAAATTAGGCTTCCAGTACTAAACTTGAAGATAAGCTCTGTTCAGAAAATCTGCTCTTCTGCTTATTTTATGGAATGCAGGACATAACGTTTGAGAGATGGTCCTCTGTGTGCTAGGGGCACACAAATCACTTCATGCTTCAGCTGTCAAGTGTTAAAGACCCTTGCTCCCATTCACTCAAGACTTCTTTAAGAGCTTTGTTCCTCTTTTAATACCTGGTGGTTGTCACTGAGAGTGACAGAGCACTGGAACAGTGTCCAGAGAGGTCGTGGAGTCTCCTTCACTGGAGACATTCAAAACCCACCTGGATGCGTTCCTGTGTGATGTACTCTAGGTGACCCTGCTCTGCTGACCTCTGTACTGCTAGGTGACCCTGGCAGGGGGTTTGACTAGATGATCTTTCGAGGTCCCTTCCAACCCCTAAGATTCTGTGATTCTGTGGGAACTTTTCATTGAGTTTTGCATGAGACCACCCTGTAACAGATTCATCCCTTTCCTTTGGCTAGCTTGGGTATTTTCTGTGACAGGACTGTGCAATAGGAGATTTTTCTATTTCAGATAGCACTTTTACATAGCTGTTCATTCCTGTACTGTTCCTAAACATTTCCACCTGCAGGCTTTTACTAATATAAGCTTCCTCTGTCAGAACATCCATGATACATATGTGAGACATAAACAGAAAAAACATTTTGCAAAATATTTGCTGTATGAACTTGCTCGTGCCTCTCTTAAAATGAGTCCTCAATAAGCAAATCAGTACCATACAATATTGGCAGTAAAAACAAATGCTAACAGTCACTGGTCGAGTTTCCAGTAAGAATTACAAATCACAGTGAATGTTGGATTTTTTTTTTACCATGAACTAGTAATCCAATCCTTGTAAATAACCAACACATCAACGGAAAGGAGAGGAGATAATGAATAATTCATAAAAATGAAAAAGAGCTAAATTTATCAGGTGATTATTTCTCAACAAATATTTAGACTAATTTTTAATTAATGTTCATGGATATGAATTCAAACAGAGTGAAGTCAGGAAGTTGCAGCTAATGTTCCCATAGAGAAATTAACTCAGGAATGCGTATAGATTTAAACAGTATGTTTTAGATTATATACCACACTTAGGTATTTATACAGATTTACATCTGTCTTGAAAATAATTGTGGGTAACAACCTCTGACAAACATCTTCTGTTAACCATTTCGCTGCTGGCTCCGGCCGTGCCCCCTGGCAGCGGAGCAGGCTGCAACCCTGCAGGAGCCGTGGGCTGCCGAGGGACCGTCCCTGTCACCTCTCCCGGGAGAAACCATCGCCTGCAGCAGCTGCGGGCTCTGTGGGCAGGAGGCTCCCTCGTGTGGAGATCGATAGTTCTGCAGAAGACGACAGGCTGGGCTCGTTCTATTGAATTCGTTGCTGGGGGGTGTGCGCGCACCCGCGGGCGCTGCCCCTGCGGCTCCCGCCGCCCCCCCGCGGCCC